CCACTTTTGTTGTATCACGGAATGCAGCGATTTGATCTGATTGTACGCAAGCGAAAACAGCCAACCAAAACCCGCGACAAAAAGGCTGAAAACATATGGCTTTGTGTTCACAGATATTCTGTTGAAGCCTCTGATTGGCTGTATTCTCTAGCGTTAAATCGTATTAAATCGATTCATTTATAATTTTCCATTATACAATAAAGTGTGGGTGACTATTGCAGTCGAGGTATAAGATCGTTGTAGTTTGTCGACATTGTCGGCATTCAAAAACGTAAGGAGCAGTGGATGCGAGATGATATTCGGCGCCTTCAAATTGATGACCGCAACACATTCGGGGTGTTCCGAAATTGTATGGACATTACGATCCAAAATGTCGCAAACGACAATCCAAATTTGGGCTTTTGCGAGATACTAAAGCAAAATACAATGGTACTAGTGACGTATTTTTAATCACGTTATATACATCAATTTGTACTATTCCAATTTTTAATCAAACGTCTATGATTCCCTCAATTCCACTAAAACTAAGTGTTTAATGACGTCACTAATCGTGAAGGTCCTTATTTGATACAAACAGAGAATATAAGCAGAGTAGAGTGGTCACTTCGCTAGCGCCATTTTGAAATTTAAACTGTGGCGCCATCTAGTGAATAGGGGTTTGCGTAGTTTGCAAGAATGCACTTGGCACATAACACATTGAATTAAAATTAGATCCTCTAGGTCTTTAGCCATTCCAGAATAACTCAGGGATTTATAGCTAACGGATGATCATTAAAGCACACTTGTTTTTATATTGTTTGAAAACATCCCAGATAGCCATGGTTTTTCTTTGACTACATTTGAAAGCTAGAAAATAATCTAGACGTCATGCGATTAATCGCTTCACTGAGATGTCTTATTGATCAAGCATTATCCTCCACTATTTCATATATTTATACATAATTTAAATGATAAATGCCAATTTGACAATGCATTTGATCCTTTAATCAAAACTTATCAGAAAGGAAAGGGTGAATTTTATATAATGTAAACGGTCGAGCGTTCTGAGAACATTTTCAATTCTGGCCCACATCGGGGAGGTGGTCGACAAAGTAGAGCAAAAGGCTGTCTGTAGAGATATTACTTATGATATACAACAAAACAAGTAGTAAGCCGAAATAATTTATATGATATCCTCCATTATGGCTTAAACAGAAGATTATTTTGTCAACTTTCAACCTTTTTAGAATGAGACATATAGTCTTAATGTCTACAGAAAATGTTTTAACGTGACAAATATCGCCAGTTCCAATCACTATCTACAGTAAAGTCTTGTTTTGGGTGTGAAAAACATCTCACTAATTGACAATTAACAGTGTTGATTAAATTAGGGCCATAATTAAAACTGGTACAGTTGTTCATCTGTAAACATTGATGGATACACTCATATACATTGGTTACTTCATATGGTAAGAGTGTACAATTTGGTGGACTGGAACGTTTACCTACCACTGTCTTTATATTCATTTCTGTAATAAAGAAGATATAAACATCATATATATTATGCAGGTTTCAAAGTCTTGCTCATTGTTGCTTTAATTGTTGTGTAATCGAGCCCCGCCTGTATTTCAATAGTAAAAAGGTCTACGTGTCGCTTATAATCTTGTTAAAATTAGATTACAATTTTATCTTCATTGTAATCTAACACGTTTTCTACCGAAACCTCGTTCTAATCTTGTTATTTTTAACCAATCAATCAAACCAGTCATGTAGAACCCTTTTCTTGATATCATAAACAATTGTCGGATATATAAACCTAAAGGTCAATGTATGCATGGGAGTTTACTTTGCACCGATCCTCAGTAAGTTTATAAATCTCCAGCATACAGACGGTTAAATAATGGGCGGCAACTTTTCAATAAGAACAATTCAGCGACCCAACCTCGGCGCCATATTGAGACTGAAGCTGTACTTTTTTTTAAATTGAAATTCTTAAAAATAATGGTACGCTGGATTTACTTTCTGAAATAGAGTTTTAACAGCAGGTAAATCAAATATTTAGTTGACTCTAATCTCATTATTAGAAGGATATATCCCTTTATTCTAAACCTACCAGGTAAGTACTGTGTTGAACAGCCATTGTATATATCACCAAATATCTCTAATTCACATATTGTTAAAGGTTCTGGGTTGTTCAAAACAAACAGAACAAATCTTCCCATACATATTTTCGTACATGTTAAATTTGTCCAGGTGCCACTCTCTGCTGTGTTCGGGTAATGGACACAAATACAGTATTCAGTATCCACCATGTTATATTTGATATGAGGACCAGAATCATATTGCCAAACAGAAACAGTAAAATTTCTCAATCTATCACCTAAAATTAAAATTATTATATAAATACAACCAGCTCAATATTATATAATTCTCTCAATTGATAATGTAAAATTTTAGTAGAATTGTTCACATGAAATTTGGTCACAATAATACAACCAATAAGGGCATTTTTTATGACCAAATTACTGTGACCTATTGACCAATTTTCCACTGCCCAAATTCACGACAAACAGTGAATAAGCCTATTGCAATATCTGCAATTTCTGGGCTAAACTAACAGACGAAAACCGGAGTGAACAATTTGTAATAATGATGCTATAGGTTTTAAAAGCTATTGAAATGAGGCTGGAGAACCAAAATTCAAGATGTAAAATAAAAAGAAAAGTAAAGTCTCTAGTCAAAATACTCAACCTTCGTCGCCTTGTCTATTTAAGACCTTGATACTTGTAATTTCATATTCAGTTTCTAAGTCAACCATCAACCAATTAGGTGTATCTGTTGGATTGTTTGTATGAGAACATTGCGTGTTACCCATGGTTAGATGACCATCGACCGCTTTGGAAGAAAATTTACCACCATAATAATAACTAGTTTGTCTATTTGGTTTGTTTAATGCAAGGTTCCCTAATCCAAAAACTAAAATAAAAATGTCGGAATTAAATGTATATTGCTTCTTTCCCATCACTATCTGGTTTTACAAGCCTCTGATACATTAGCCTCTATCATCCAATGCCTCCAGTCTGCGAAAGTCATATATAGGAATAGACTGGACATCAGAAACTACTTATTATCATTGTTTTACTTTTATCGATGACTGTTGCCATCGTTGATTGATGAAAAAAAAAACACGAATTTCGAAAAAGTTGTTCAATCCGAAAGTTATGCTAGCTCTCTGCAACATATATCATGGTAATGGTAGTAATGGTAGTTTGTCGGAACTATGTCAATATTGTCACGTGATTCTGAGAATTTAAGTATCGGAGACAAATCACACAAATATCGCCTATAAAAACCCAACGAAATTCGCCATTCGCCGAAAAAGATTCAGCTTTGCGGAAACTGTAGAGAATTGCCGAATGACATGTTTCAGCATTCGACAGTCTCCCGGGGTAATTCTATATAATGTCAAATAAAATCACTTACCAACTAAATCATTGGTATTCAAAATTCCAAATAAATTCAACAAAACTAATTTCATCCACACAAACGGCATATTATAAAAATTGGTCGAATCAGTAGATGCTATTCAGAATCTTCAGTATTTGGTCCTATCCCGAATAAAACATGCTGTTTTTAGTTTTTCTCACTCTTGTCGTAATACAAAGAAATTGTTGTTATTATCATAGCTTGATACAGTCTAGAAATCCCGAAACGTCGCCTAAATGAAAACAAAACAGTTACTTTACTAAATGACACTCAAGGAATAAATAAATTATATTCATGTAATCATTGAATAAAAACATCATGTTAAAAGCGGTTCCAGTGACTTGAATGCTGTTTCTTAAAAAGTAAATGGGTATGTTTCCCTAATGAAACTTATTATGAATACAATATTGACGTCCAAATAACTCTACACCCACAGAACAACAATTTTTGACAGCTTGAACATTTTGAACAATCCTACTAAGTCGTTACTTTTGCTCCAAAAGCTCATAATATTGACATTGATGTATTGGGCATTAACTCAAAATCTGTGTATTAAATATTATACCAGTTATCTCATTAATCTTAAACAGACAGATCCGTCATTTTTTTTACCAATCATATACTTTAGTCTCAGATATAGATTTATTTTTAGTTAAGCCAATCAGTAGCCTAAAAGTGTCGAATGACTGACGAGGGTTAGCCTCTATCATCCAGTTTTAGTTTATCTGCACACAGTTGAATAATGTAGGCGTATAGCACGCTCGGATGGATAAATGTATTATATAAAGTTTCTTATAATTATCAGAACATTGTCTTTTTAACTGTTTCAAAACCGAAATGGAGTCGAAAACTATTAATATTTCATTATTGTGATATGTAGAATAGACAGATGAAATAGCTAATAAAGAAGAAAGGCAGTTGCGGCGCCAGTCTTCCGAGACTGGGGTACAAATATAAGGCAGACTGACTCAATGGAAGGGACAACTGCTAAGACTGAATTAAAATTTTGGCTACTCTGTGGTGGAATCATAGTCGCAAGCCGATCATAGAGGGTCTTAGAGGGTTCTTTCAAGAAAATCTTAGAAAAAATGAATGAATTTTGTGCATTCTTACACATATTTTGGAGAAAAAAAGGTAGACATTTAGATTTGTTGAAAAAAAGTGGGGGTGCAACCACTTTACTAGGTAGGCAAATGCCTACTCCCCCCCCCCCTCTGCATCTCTAGCCTCTTTAATTATGTAATTTACCAATGATTTGTTATTGGTCTTGCGATCTTAATTCATTCAGTAGCTTTAGTGCCTTTGGGAGAAAAAAACATCCTATGATGTTTAGTTTAGCCCACCAATATCACGACGTGACCCCATAACAATCTTAACATAGTGCCAGCAAACAATATTATTGTCTTTAAGTACAGCATTTATTACAGAGCACTAGCGTAACTGTCCGATCTCAATAAAGAGATAAACAATGTCCTTTTTAAGCCTTAAGCCTTTTTAAGCCATATAGGTCTTATGTCGCACATAAGATAAATGTGTTATCGTGACAAATATCGCCAGTTCCAATCACTATCTACAGTAAAGTCTTCTTTTGGATGTGAAAAACATCTCACTAATTGACAATTAACAGTGTTGATTAAATTAGGACCATAATTAAAACTGGTACAGTTGTTCATCTGTAAACATTGATGGATACACTCATATACATTGGTTACTTCATATGGTAAGAGTGTACAATTTGGTGGACTGGAACGTTTACCTACCACTTTCTTTATATTCATTTCTGTAATAAAGAGTATATAGACATAACTTTGCAATGATATATATGAAGGTTTCAAAGTCTTGCTCATTGTTGCTTTAATTGTTGTGTAATCGAGCTCCTCACATATTCCAGAAATAAAAAGTCCCGTTTGTCGCTTGAATCTACTACATTTAATCACAATTTCGTTTCCTTTTTTCTTTTAGGTCTTAACTGTGATCTAACACGTTTTCTACCAAAACTTCCAAAAATGAAATGAAATGAATTGAGTTTTATGTCCTACTCTTCTGCACCATGTGGGCTAATAAAGACGGGCAACGCCATGCAGGGTGCCACGAGAAAAATTTTGCCAGGACAGCGACATTAGCCTGCTCTTTTTCGATCTCCAACTGTCGAGGGATCATTAACGTGCACAGCCTGGAGCACACGGGGCCTCGGTTTATTGTCCCATCTGAACGACTAGACTTCCAAAAAGCATAACGAACTTAACATGTTTATGTGAACTTTTTAAATAGTTTTAGCGTTAAAAAATCAATTTAGTTAAAACTTTCAGATACGTTAAAGGACATGTTTCTCTGGATTTTGGTGTATAGTTTTCACAAATTTGAAGGAAATTTTTTTTCGACCTACAAAAAAAAAACGGAACGCCCTTTTAAAATTGTTAAATTATTGCACAGTGGATTTACTTTATATTTAATCAATTATTTATTTATAATCCCATTATTAGAAGTATATATCCCTTTATTCTAAACCTACCAGGTAAGTACTGTGTTGGACAGCCATTGTATATATCACCAAATATCTCTAATTCACATATTGTTAAAGCTTCTTGGTTATTCAAAACAAACAGAACAAATCTTCCCAAACATATTTTCGTACATGTTAAATTTGTCCAGGTGCCACTCTCTGCTGTGTTCGGGTAATGGACACAAATACAGTATTCAGTATCCACCATGTTATATTTGATATGAGGACCAGGATCATATTGCCAAACAGAAACAGTAAAATTTCTCAATCTATCACCTAAAATTAAAATTATTATAAACACAAATCTGATATCTTAGGAATATCATTGAATATTGGTCACAGTAATACAATTTGATTCTCAGGGTAAATCGCATCATGACCAAATTATCATCTGACCGAATTTCCAGTCAGGCCCGTAGCCTGACGTGTTCAAATATATCCAGAAGGGCAATGGTGTATGGTGTTTAGTTACAGTATTGACACTGCCACCCTTGCCTCCAGTAGCTACGGGCCATTTTTCTTTGTATAAATTTCTTGCGCCAATTCATAGCTCAAGCTTATCACTAAACAATGGCGATACGCTTTGCCCTCTTGAAAATGGTTTATACCCCCAGGTGTAGAGAAAGAAAAATAGGCGCTATTAAATTGGGAAAAACATTAATAACTGACAGTAAAATATATATCAATAAATTCAAACTACACATTGAATTATGAAGATCAATTAAATGAAAAAAATCGTATTTTATTCAATAAAGACAACTGCCAGTGAGGGTATGTTACCTTGCCTGGCAAGCTGTCTTGACACAAAATATGTGTCCCGAGGGAGTAAGGGACCAAATCATTTCAATTTATCAAACGTTTTCTAGGGGATGATCCTTTTAGATGCTGTATGTAAGGATTATGCGCTTCCACAGAGCTGTCGTATTTTGAATCTCAACTTCGACGTTTGCACTGGAATGAATATCAAAAAACTAAATCAAAAGAAAATTCTCCAGTAAAAAAACTCAACCTAAGTCCTGTCTATTTAAGACAGAGATATTTCTAATTTCATATTCAGCTTTTAAGTCAACCACCAACCAATTGGGCGTATCTGTTGGATCTTTTGTATGAGAGCAGTAGAGATTAGAGGTGCTAAGACCTCTATCGACAGCTTTTGAAGAAAATCGTCCACCGCCATATTCACTTGTTTGTCTAGTTGGTTTGTTTGATGCAAGATTCTCTAATCCAGAAACTGAATAAAAGGAAAAAAATATTTGCAACAACGGTAAATGAGCGTTTACAAATTTATTTACAACAAATGATAATATTGTGAATGAGCGTTCGACTATATTTACAAGACCAGGGATTGTATATGAGCGTATAGGCCTACACTGTATTTACAACAAATGATAATATTGTGAATGAGCGTACGACTATATTTACAAGATCAGGGATTGTAAATGAGCGTATAGACCTACACTGTATTTACAACAAATGATAATATTGTGAATGAGCGTACGACTATATTTACAAGATCAAGGATTGTAAATGAGCGTATAGGCCTACACTGTATTTACAACAAATGACAATATTGTGAATGAGCGTACGACTATATTTACAAGATCAGGGATTGTAAATGAGCGTATAGGCCTACACTGTATTTACAACAAAAGATAATATTGTGAATGAGCGTACGACTATATTTACAAGATCAGGGATTGTATATGATGAGCTTATAGGCCTACACTGTATTTACAACAAATGATGATATTGTGAATGAGCGTACGACTATATTTACAAGATCAGGGAATGTAAATGAGCGTATAGGCCTAAACTGTATTTACAACCAATGATGATATTGTGAATGAGCGTACGACTATATTTACAAGATCAGGGATTGTAAATGAGCGTATAGTCCTACACTGTATTTACAACAAATGATAATATTGTGAATAAACGTACGGCTATATTTACAAGATCAGATGAGCGCAGGTGGTTATTATTCCGTCCATTTTTGTACTGGGTGGTTTTGACGCGCGTCGTTCTCATTTGGTCAATAAGTGTGCTTAGTAATTGCAAATACGAACATAATGTCAGATTAAATCACTCACCAACTATTTCATCGGTATTCCAAAATACAAATAAAAACAGCAATTTCATCCACACAAACGGCATTTTATAAGTAGTAAGTAGATACTAGATACTTGAGTATTTTCTCGATTTTGCTAACACTATAAATAAACATAAGAAGGCCAAAAACGTAGACGCAAACCTTTTAATAATGAAGAGAATGATATATAAATAATAAATTAATATTTCGGTTCCCGTGATGTCAATTTTGTCTCTAAATCTTGGCGAATGAATGTATAAATTTCCCTATAGAAACTTCTTTTAAAAAAATATTGATGTTCTATAAATTATTCATTGAGTGGTTGTCTAAGTGACTGTATACCTTCACAACAACAAATTATTGTGTCTTTGACGTTTGATCAGATATTTCGAGCAAGAAATGGTTTGCATCCCCACTTTTACTAGATGGGATTTAGGTTCGACTAATTCGACGAATTTTTCTCTTGATCATAAGATTTAGTGGATTTGCAGACACCACAGACGTCTGATTGAAAATTAGAATGATGCAAATTGATGCTTTCGGTGTCCCCAATGCACATGAATTATTTTAAAAAACATCTTTACTATCCCTTTAAAAAAAAAAGCCAAGTTTATTGTCATAAGTATATTCATTTTGATCCAACAATATGCTGATCTGCAAAAGCAAAAATAGACTCTAAATCAAAAATAATATTAGATTAATTATATGAAAAATGTAAAAGGGATAAAGTTGTCAAATGTTCACTTTATCATCTGATAAAATTCTTCTACCTTAAAGCGACTGTAAAGAGGTTTTTCTGCAATGCGTATCTTTTATGTGTATCGGGGATCAATTTGCACTATTCCAATTTTCATTCAGACGTCTGTGGTTCCTGCAATTCCTCTAAAACTAAGTGTTTGATGACGTCACTAATCGCGAATGACCTTAATATGTGATAGAGAATATTTTGCGATAAGTGACGTCATTAAACACTTATTTATGTGGACTTGCAGGAACCACAAACGTCTGATTGAAAATTGGAATGGTACAAATTGATGCTATCAGTGTCCCCAATACACATACAAAATGTAAAAAACCTGTTTACAATTACTGAGATTTGTACCTGGTTGTACATGACAGCAGTCTTATGTCTTGTTATGAAAATCATTAATTGCAGATGAGTTATGTCCTGCTTCTGATAAGTGATACAGGTAATTGAAAGTTAGTGGTTGAGCAACTATATCCCTTTATAACACAAAATATCACAGTTAACAATGGAGTAATGGGTCACATCCGGTGGCGTTTCTTTGAATCATTAGGTGTAAGGGTGTAAAATTTTCAGGCTATTATCAGCATTCCCTAATTTAAATACTGCTGTCAGCATTGATCTCTCATTTCTTCAGGCTGAAATAAGCTCAGATTCTATAATTGAATTGTTTCTGTTGTTAAAATATATATTTAGACAACTATATCCCTTTAAATATAAAAAAGATAGGTTGTCAGACAAGGTAACATACGCCCACTGGCAGCTGTCAGAAATGATTGAACACGAGTTGCACAATATAGCTAATAGAGTGAAACGTCAAGTTAGACACGATATTTCGGTGAAAAATGATCCGATCATCACGAAAATCTATAGGGATCCTCTTCATAATGACACTGACAAACAAAATCAAAATCAAAAGAATCTGTAAAGAATTGTAGCCTGTAGAGTGAGCACGAGTTGCACAATATAGCTAATAGAGAAAAACGTCAAGTCAGACACGATATTTCGGTGAAAAATTATACGATCACCACGAAAATCTATAGGGATCATCTTCATAATGACATTGACACACAAAATATAAATCAAAAGAATCTGCAAAGAATTGTAGCCTGTAGAGTGAGCACGAACCAAATGTGAACAGACGGACGGACCGACAGGGTGATTACAATATACGCCCATCTTACGTGTGGGCGTATAAAAAAACTCAGACCAGATCAATCAATGAGAACTGTCAATAAAATCACAAAAAGACAGGTTGTTATTGAAAAACTTGCGATGACAAGCTTTTGTATTCTAACCAATATAAAAGAAAAGTCTATTCATTGAGTTCTAATGTGAAGTGAAACTTAAAACAACAGAACAAATTCTAACCTATATATACACTTTCTTTAACATTAGTAAATATTTAAACAGTGCAAAAAAACATAACTTGCCAGACAACATAACAACATAGTTCACAACAACATAGTTCAAATTTAAGATTGTAGTACATAGGCAGAAAATGAAGTATCCATTTTTTCAATTATGTATTTCATATACACACAGAATCCTCATTTTGACTTAGATTGCACTAAAGTTTGGAAATTGTTTAATAAAAGGGATATTTCGCGTTTTGTAAAAAGTTTTCATTATCAAAAACTTGTAAATTATACCTGAAAGTATGCTATTTATATCTATGTATCTACTTGATCAAACTGAATTTGTTTGAAAAGTGTTAATTAAAGACGGATAGTATTAATTGTTAATTAAGCAGTTTGACCTAGTTTTGGCGTTTGGCTTTATAATAGCTCGATATTATTAGTTAACCTTTAAAATAAGTATGAGACACATATATCTTCAATTAGCGTTTATTTTACTCAAATCCGTACAGTAGTTTTCTTACAGCTTCCAAAATGCATGACTAACTTATAAACCTTACGTAATGTTTTCAAATAAATAAATAGATTTTTTCAGATATGTTAAAGGTCACCCTTCTCTCAATTTAGGTGTATAGTTTTCACAAACATGAGAAAAAATTTTTCGACCCACAAAAAAAGCGGAATTTCCCTTTAAAAAGATTACCCTGCATATTCTAATAATGAATAGCAAACATATCAAAGAACAAGGGCAATAATTCTTGATAGATAACTTCAAAGTTTTAATTTTGAAATTTTGTTATGGTTTTGAGAGTTTTTTAAATCAAAATTGACCACGAACATAAGCTACTTGAATGAAATGAATGGATTTTTCTGTCCTACTTTTCTACACCTAATTGAGCTAATGAAAACTGGCAACGCCATGCAGTGAATTTTGTCACGACAGCTACATTAGCCTGTTTTTTTTTTTATTATTAAATTTAAACTTTCGAGTGATCTTGTCCTTGTTGTCAGATGTCAGGGGTTAAAGGGAGATGTGCGGCATTTTGGGGAGTTTTTGGATTTTAGTCTTGAATATATGTAACTAGTCTTCAGAAGTACTAAAATCTACGAAAATCGCATAATTCATTTGAAAAAAAATTCTTCAAACTAAGAATTTTACTCACTATTTCTGTATATGTCTTTTCTATACATCACAGAGTATCTTAAAATGAGTTCCGTTTCTGAAACTAAAGTATGTTGGGCCAACTTGTCTCCCGAATTCTAACTTGTTCATCATTCTTTTGTTTATGTAAAATAAAATTGGTTAAAAACTGAAGATTCTAGAGAGTTTATATGCAAATGTTAACAGATTGAAAGACATAGGTGCAAAAAATAAATGTCCAAATGACAACATGAGGACAGATATACAACATAATTTTACATGTGCACTTCATCCTTAAATAAAATATTATTGAGTGGGCTGAAAAAGGGCAATAAAAATCACAATTTGAACAAAAATCAACACTTAACGGTGCGTGCACATGAACTATCTTGGTCAGCGATTTTTAGTTGCCAACTATAGTATTGTCAAGACCGGCTGCGGGCTACAATAAGCCCGTGCAAATCATGCAATTCAAAGAAAAATGAATCTGATTGTACTATGATAGTCTGTCTTGCAGACGATAAAACAATCAGCGACAAATATCAAACTGGTTTGATATTATAAATCCTGTCAGCAACGCGGTAATCTTTTTGTGGAAGCGTGGGCACATGCGAGGATTTACTCAGGATTCATGTCGGCGAGAAAAATCAGCGACAAAGACTGTTCGTATGCTGGCACCATTAGTAAAATACAAGGCCTAAAATGCCACCATGCTCAAAACATATATCACAGTCGACTTAAAAATATAAATAACATAAAAAATAATTCTAAAATGTATAACTATTTAGCATATATTGTGAATAAATTAGTTTAAAATTTAACATTTTACAAATATACATACGATATGAAATCCACCAAACTCAATTTGGTGGCGATAGATTGGAGAGTTTTGAACAGGTTACGTCTGTTCCAATTCTGCCATCAATCAAGCGGTATGAAAGCTCAATCGAGCGACCTCTTTGAGGTTATATATCACTTTTAATGAAAAATAAAACTTATATTATAACAATAAAAATACATATCTTAGACATTACACAACGATATAAGTGTTTGTGACACATCTTATTATACTTATCTAACCTATTTTCTGAAAATGAGTGATCAAAATATCCACGAACAAAAAACAAATTCTTAAAAAAAAGTCAAAAGACTTAAAGGTCAAAAAGTTAAAGGCACTAAGACCAAAGCAGCAATATTGATTATAATATATTAATTTGACGTTCTGAATTTACAAATCTTTTCTTCCGATTTATCATTCTAAATATTCAAATTTTTCATTCTAAATATTCAAATATTTCATTCTAAATGTTATGTAAATTTTCAAATAAATGATAATAAATTTTTTCCAATATCTGAAAATCAATTTTCACATATTTCATAATAAAATTTCAAATGAATATTAATAAAGTTTCGAAAATTGATTATCAGATATTTCAAATATCCGAAACTTTCGAAATATTTGACAATAAACTTTCAAAATATTTGACAATAAACTTTGAAAAATAAAGTTTTGATAATAAACTTCAAAATTTAAAAACAAATTTTCAAAAAATTGTTGATTAATTTTTAAAATATTTCCAAATATTTCATTATAATATGACCAACATCATTTCCACACCATTAAACAAAAAAGTTCATGGCTTAGTTTAAGACAGGTCTAAAACACTAATTCTGGACGGATGAACTGTGTCTGAACTGTGTCTCGTACATATTGCTATTTGAAGAGACTATTTGTCCAAAAGATAAAAAAGACATTAAGAAAATAAATCAGAAATAATTTAACAAATAACAAATTTTGATTTTTAATTGGTTAATCTCCACAGTCACCACCATCAAATCCCCCATCATCAAAACCTCCTCCATCATCATAACCTCCTCCATCATCATAACCCCCGTCATCATAACCTCCATCATCATACCCTCCATCATCATAACCTCCATCATTATAACCTCCTCCATTATCCCCCTGACCCCAACCATCTCCTCCACCATACCCATCTCCATTCCCATACTCCCCGCCGTCACCATAGTTATTTTCAGTATTAGTTTCATTATATTCATTATTTTCAACATTATTTATTTCTGTAGTATTGTAATTGTTTATGTTGATATTGTCACCATGATCATGATAACCTCCACCCCAACCCCCGTAACCATAGCCACCATAGCCACCATAACCCCATCCTCCATAACCCATGGGTCGAGACATCCCATAACCTAAGGCACCACCTACTAGGAGACCTGAAATAGATTAAGTACAAATTTTCATTGTGCTCAGAAGTGTACTTAGAGGAATAAAAATTGCTATTTTTTCAATGGGACTTATCTTAAAAATAAATTGTTGTGTATTAATGTTCTCTTTCTTAAAAAACATTCTGGCTGTGAATGTTAAAGATATGAAATGCATTGCAAATGGAAAACATTACGGCACTTCCCCTGTCCTTGCAGTATATTCATGATAGCATAATGCATTGACATATTGCTTTGATTACCCTAATCAGGAACAGATAAGTAGGATGTAAAACTCCAGTCCATTTATCCATCAATGATCCTTAGTCAGTATTAATGTAATGGGTAAATCGCTCAAAAAGATTTACCTGTAGCAAAACCATCTCCAGATGATCTTCTTCTCCTTCTATCCCCTTGAACAACAACAGTTGTACCTTGAGGTTGACCTCCTCTCTGTTGCTGGTAACCTTGTTGCTGATGATAGCCTTGTTGCTGATGATAGCCTTGTTGCTGTTGATAACCTTGTTGGGGAGGATAGTGTCCTTGACCCGGTGGTGGAGGATATGGACCTTGGCCTTGCTGTGGAGGGTAAGCAGGTTGACCTGTGACCTGGGGCTGAAAACCTGGTGGTGGTGGCCCACCTTGAATTTGTGGGGGACCTTGACCTTGGGGAGGTCTTGGAGGTGGTGGTAGCTGAAAAAATATGAAATGACATAATCATAATTTAACATGACAATGGTTTCAGATATTTATTCTAAGCTAGATGAAGTGATAAATTTAACAATAAATGGTAAATTTAACAAAAACAGATATAGAAAATATAACAAAAATAAACTGAAAGAACTTTATTGGGTTGCCAATTTCAGATTAGTTGTCAACTGGTAGATTAAGTATGCTTAATAGTAGTTATCTCCCTTGACAGAGCTTGAAAGCATTATGCCCATAATAAGAGAATTGGAAATAGGAACACTTACTGTACTAGTGATGTCTTTCATCCATGAGCTAAAAACAAAGCAAAAAAATAATCAGCATAAATATCACAAAAAAATCAGAGCATAATAAATGCTGTTATATATCTGCTGCCTACGAACACTGATTATATATAATCCAAGAATGGGCTATTTTTTCTAAATATTATTATGATAATTGTAATGAAGATTTGGAAATAAAGTTAATGGACAAAATATGTAATTTGGAAAAAAATTAGAAAGTTAACATCTCCACAAAACAAAAATTATTTCCTCTATTGACATTACAGAAAATTCAAAAATTTAAGTAGACAATATTATCAAAAATCCATATATTCTTTGGACTATAATATATTATCAGACTGTCTAACACTCATTGACAAAAAATAAGGGCTAATTTCTTGTTGACCATCCACAAACGATCATCTTCCAAGAAAAATATACCAAAAAACAGTTCAACATTTTTTAAAGGAATTTTAGCAAAAAAAAAAGAAAGGATTTTTAAAGAATTTTAGGGCTGCTGGACAACCTGTATTAGATGTAGGGTGAGCAGGGTAGGGTGCACAATAATTTTTTATATGAGTTCAAAGTTTGAAATCTTATGTTTACTTTGATAATGACCCAGACGTCATTGCCTGACTGATCAGTAAAAGATATATTAACTCCTGTAGGATTACAACATAACCAACAAAAATTTCTTCATATCTATTTACATATTACAATCTAAGCCTTATTCACCTATTACATTTCAATATATTTATTTCTATATTTCAACATTTACATACATTATTTCCCTAGATACCAAGAAATGAAAAGTTATCATCCTGATTTACCAGATGAACTGCCTTGCCAGGAACAGTTTAATTCATAAGGCCATACAAAATAAATAGTCTGTTTTACAGGCCCAAAAATGCCTGATTGTTGCTTGCGCTCGCTCTGATTTATTCCAGTTGAAAATCTAAAAAAGCGCTTAAAAGTAATAAATAATAAATTCGCCCTTTTTTGTATGGCGTAAGATATTCTACATAATTTTAGGGTTTCCGACAAAGCTGATGCACAATGAAGAATTAACCACTTAATATTTGCATCACATACTTTTTTAATGCCCTTATAAAATCATAAAGCTATATAGATGCTTCCGTGAGAAAAAAAATAACACATACAGACAAATTAACAACCTTGGTTTGAATCCTGTTCTCAAAAAATATTGTATTAATAAAATAAATTACTGAACAATTTGGTATCCAACTTACTTCAGTTCATTTTGATCAGCACATAATATCCAAATAACCTGAGCTTTTTTATCTGGTTTGAGAGGAAAGGCTATTAAATTAGTTATTCTTCCTCCAGGTGGGAGATCTGGTCTGTTAGGTACATTCTGACTGTAGGCTCCTACAGCTAAAAATTTACACACATTCTACAAAATGAATATAACAAAACATACATCTGAAAATTGTTAATAATTTTTTTTTAAGACGTAAATAAATTTGCACAACTAGAAAATTGGTGTACATAATTGTACCCTAATTTGATTTCTAATAAATTTAGAAATATATTATTTGGACCAAAATATGTTGTTTTTTTCAATATTTTCTTGGAGGAGAACTCTCTCCAAGGGATCCATGGGAAGCAACTACCACAGTTTGAATCTCAAACTCAAAAGTTGTTATTCCCATTTAGTCAGTATGCCCCCTATTTGTACCCCGGGAGCTGCGGTGGCTCAGTAAGTTAGACAACTTGCTCTCTAACATGAAGGTCCAGGGTTCAATCCCTGCATACATCAAGATAATACCTTGGGATTTTCAACCCGGTTTTCCCTTGTGATACAGGTTGTAGGGAGCGACATGGATAAAGTGTTGTTCAGATGCTACAGGCTGTGCACGTTATATAACCCTCGACAGTTTGAAATCGAAAAAGAGGAAGCTAAATAACGCTCATTGTACACTGCAAGGTGCAAAAGGTAGGATGTAAAACTCCATTCATTTCTTTTATTTTTACCCTCAGTCTCGGGAAGCTGACGCTGCCGCAGGTTACATTTCTTAAATCTTTGGCTTATTACCTTTAATTTGACTCCACCTTTGGGCTCATAGCTACCCTGATCCTCGTACCAAGCTAATGTACTGTCCTGATATAGAACCAAATATTCTTGTTTCCATCCTGATGAAAAAAATCCCTCTGTAAAGGAGAAATTTAAGTTGAAACTGATGGTTATTTGACATCGACGGTTATCTATTGTCTTTATCAAAAAAAACTATAAAGGAAAATCTATATAATTTTAAGAACATTCCAGGCACTAATTCCCTTTTATAAACACACTTTAAAATTTTCTTTTCAATTTCATTTAGAGTTTTAAAGTGTAGTAACATCTCTTGATAAGAATTTAAATAGGGCCTTTAAAAAATGTCCTTCAAGAATATGCCACCACATTATGTTTGCTGTCATTAACAAAAGCTTCATTCACATTTTCAGAACAATGACTGTTTACATTATACATTCTAGTAGCCTAATGTAGGCCTACTTACTGTTATATCTTTTCAAATATCCTGTTTTTATTCGAGGCACATTATCTGAAAAAAAAATATATAAGAATAAAACTTGCACTAGCTGACAGTATATTACAATTCTATTTTTCACTACTATATCATTATTTTCTTTAAAAGCCTATCAGCTTTGATCTAATAATAATATTATTATTTATAAAATATCATAAATTAAAAGCAAAAAATAAAAATAATGAAAAGCCCAATAACTAACTTGAAATATGAACAGAATCGGAGCCAGAACAAGCCATATTCCAAAACTAAACGGTTACATAAATTTAATTAATGTGTGACGACATCATTTACCCGACAGTTAATTATTGATACAAGGTGTATTATTTTCGAAGTCTCTTTAACAACGGAAGTAAACAACTCCATTACAGTTGCGTACATATCTACGTCAAAACTAAACAGTGAACGAAATATATTTTTTTACGCCTAACGACGTTTTTTCGCTTGTTAGATCTACTCTGAATAGTGATTTTCATTAGAATGTCTAGGAAAGCTTTTATGTTCTAAAACACTATATTATCATTGCATTCTTTTACTGCCAGAAAAAAAAAGAAGTGTTACATTTCTCGAACAATGTTAATGAGTCTGTTTGACAATCGGGACTACGGGCACCTGTTAAGTCTTTGTCTACGAGTCACAAATTTACGAAACTAAACAATACCTAGACATTGAAATTTGTAAATATTACTTACTTTTTGTGACCTTATTCAATTTGATTTTTTGACAAAAAAAAGATGATTACAATTATTTTAAAACTTGTACTTTGCTAGCTAAATTGTTACAGTAGAAATTATACGAAACAATATTCAGACGCCGTTGCAAAAAATGGCGATGTCCACTCGGTGTGCAATTGCGTAAGTTAAATTGCTGTAAATGCAAATGACAGGCTTTATGAACGTAATGATCTCACTGCGAAAGTTTTCATGCAAGTTCAGTTATGTTAGTCAATGCCCAAAATTAGTCGATTGGTGTCTTATTTGATTGTTAAAACCGGTTTACATTGTAGTAAACAATAATAGCTGCACGTTGACATTGGCGTGGTGAGCTCTGGTTGGTCGAGACAAAACAGAATTAGACTGTGGAAGAAATGATGATTTGATTAGTATTTGATTATCAGTCAGTTGAACAGTCATCAGATCTTTTGGTCAGATATTGATATTTGTAGGTTTAATGACAAAAGGTGATATTAAGTTAAAGTAGCACTGTAGTCGTAGAAAGAAAACAATTTGTTTTTCTTGGAAGTGGGAATATATCAAAAGTCTTTGAAATTGAAGTAAAAATGTTAGACTGTGTGGTCAATTAATGTATCAAATGTACCAAAAATTGAAGTACCAATATTTAATTGTCTGTCATGTACTCTCTGACTACACTGCTTTGTGAATTGAATTTTGGCTATCATATTCATATGAACTGAAACATCAATTACAAAATACTAACGGTACTGAGAGTTTTTGATTGTCTTTGGTTTGGTGAAGATGTCAACTACTGGAAAAATTATTTGTAAACATGATTTTACTGTCTGCAAAATAGGTCATTTTCAAATGAATTTACTGGGAAGGAAGTGTATCTATTTCAAATGTAAAATCACTGAACTTCGTATTACTATGGACCCTAAGACAAATGGCATAAAGTAGAAAATTTTGTTTTGAATATTTTTGAAATGAGAGAAAAAATTCAATTCAATGCCCAATGTAGTCGATTCTACTACTAGTAGTAGTTACTAAGGAAACCAGATTGAGCGTGAAATTGACTTTTTTCTTTAATTCACAAATATATTCATAATTTTAATCACCTGCCAACATCTTAGATTTGAGGTTCGGAGATTTTACCTTATACACTAACCTTCAAAATTTCCTGTGAAAAGGCTTCTGATTTAAGCTTATAAATAAAAAGTTTCTTTTTATTGGTTGACATTTTGATCAACTCGAAGATTCTCAGTAGTATTTTGCAGTTGATATTTTTTTACGAAAATGATTCTGAAAACGTTATAGGTAGACAGAGAGTAGCTTTAGAATTCTGAGAAATAGATCAACATGTTTAACTAAGATGTAACTTTAACATTTTCTCTTTATTTTATTCTTTCAGCAGATCAAAAATGTCTTTGACCAAGTGCTTCATATTGTTAAGTTATTTCATATGTCAACTTTATGCTGTTCAGCGTGACAACTTTAAAACATGTGAACAGAGCAGCTTCTGCAAGTAAGACAAACTAACAAATTGTTGTTGGAGATAAATCATTTATGATAAAATTCTTGCCTATAGTTCTATAACTCAGTTGGTTAGAGCGTTTGTTCTTCATATGACATCATATCCATGGTTGTGGCATTGCGAGAACCACAGACAACAGACTGATATTTGAAATGGTCCAAATTGATGTTATCAGTGTTCCCAATAAACATTCACATAGATCTTTACAATCCCTTTAAGATTTGTAAGATAGCAGTCTTGCAAATGTCTTTTTTCCCCAACAGTAATATGTTCACCTCTCATTTGCAGACGTCAAAGAGCCTACCAACCAGCACAATCACCATATGTAGCTCTAGAAGATTCCTTAAAAATAACCAGCAATACTATAGATATACAATTACTTAACAAAGACAATAATGTCAGGTTTTTATTAACTATCTTTGGTCTACAAGACAATATGTTTCGAATCAAAATGAATGAATTAAGTCCAATAAAAGAAAGATATGAAATTCCTGTGGGTGATGCATTAAAAGAAGAACCTGCTCAACAAAAGTAAGTACTACCTTGTCATGTCTTATCATCATGTTAAAAATTGGACATTTTAAAAAATAATTTCAAGTTTTATGTCATCTCAGGTTAAATGTGGCTAGCTTTTTCAAATTCATATTCATAGTAACCAATATTGACCAATTTTATGCACCCAATTGGACTAGTGAAGAGTCACAACACCATGTAATGTGCAATGAGAAACATTTTATGAAGGACATTACCTCCTTTCATTTGATCTTTTTGAGAGATGTTGAAATGAACAACTGTAGCATTTAAACAAAAAAAATGCTCTTTTCTGGTCAGATCCCCCAATTAACACTGCTGACTGGGGGGAAACCAGGGCAAAAATTTACCTTCTTACCCCACTTCTATAATTTACTGCACAAACTACATCGAACTAGAAGTATGCCTTTTGTGTTTCAATTTAATTCAAAAATTTTATGAATTTGATAATTTTTGGATTTTATTTTTTAATTGTAGAATAAATTTTGCTGGAAAGGATAAAGATAAATTTGTAATTAAAATGTCCAATCATAAACTACTATTATCTCTATCACCATTTCGAATAGATGCTTATACTGATGAAACACCAGTTATGAGTCTCAATTCACAGGGATTACTGAAATTTGAACAAATGAGGATCAAACCGTAAGTATTCAAATACTAACAGAATGGCTGAATGGTCTGTAAAATGTACCATGTACAAGATCATGTCATATTTTGAGCTGTCAAGCTCTCAACTCACCTTTCTGCTTTCTGTATTATTATTTTAATAATCCAATTATACCATATATGAGGTATGTGATCTTTTATCAGAATCAATTTCAAATAATGCCTGTTTAAATATTTCGAAACTTGTGTTGTATTCGTTAACTCATGGATAGATAAATGGAAAGTTTCCTGGTATGAAATAGTATTCAGCTGAAATAAAGTCATATTTTCCATTGAAAATTCGGGTCAAACTGAGCTACCTGGAATTTCCAGATGCCGTGACATAATAATGTGATTTATGAATAGAAACTTGTGGCATAATGATTATGCAATAACAAGATTGAAAATGTAGTCCATACGTTTGTAATTATTTTTCTGACAAGGTAGTCATTTGTCTTTATGTGAGGTAAAATGTCCAATATGCCTAAGACTGCTCATACTGTGTAGATTTTCAACTAAAACTTACACACAGTATCAATTTTGAAAATTGTAATAATAATTTCCTGTTATGTTCATTCCTACAGTATTTCTGTTAAATAATGACTTTAATAAAGATCTGTGCTGTTTGCTTTTGCATAAGATGCTTTAAATATAACTCTATCTTTAAGAATGTCTGAAATATCTTTCTTAACCAACTCTCATTTTGTTCAAAATTTATCAAATATTTTCTTGCATCCGTATTGAATTTCTTAAATTTATTTTTATGGGGGATATTTTGAAAGCTTTCTGTGCACTTTAAAATTGCTTGCAAGAAATGGAAATTTTGCGATTTTGAGGAGTATTATTGTTGAAATTATAGGAGTTGGTTGGGATCTTTTGGCTCAACAATGTTTTCATGGATTACAAAACCTTTCAGAGAAGCAAAACCACCAGCTGATGATAGTGCTGATGAGAATGGTGAAGAAGCTAATCCTCAAGAAGCTGTAGAAAATCAGGTAAATTCTTGTTGGATTAGAATAAATTCCATGATTTCGCTTCGAAAATAAATTCCTTAAAAAATGAGTCATCAAATCACCTTAACAAAGTACCACTAATTAAGATGTGAGTTGATCACACAAGATTTAAAGTCTCAAACTTGAAGTGTAAATATTCATCTGTGATCTAACCGGGTGTCATAAATATGTTACAGCATCCCTCTTTTATCCAATAAATCTATTAACTAATTATACATAAAGCAATTAATTATTGAAAAATGTTTAAAAATTAAATTCCTTAGTTTATGGATTTTTAATTGTTGAATTGACTCAAAATTCCAAAGAACATGTTTTTAAGAAGAAACTCATCAGATCATGGATTGCATGTGTAGTAATTGAAGAAAAAGCACAAAACATCCAAATCTGTATTTTGACTTTTTTTTTGTATACCATGGAATTGCATCAATTATTCTACATTAATAAAATTTACACTTCCCTCTAAGGCTGGCTTGTAAAACTGTCTTTGTTTGGCAGTGCAATAGCTCAGTTGGCAGCTAGCTCCATTATCATCTGCTATGAAGTTAGATGCCAAGGGTTCAATCCTCCTTAAGGTAAGAAAATGCATGATGCCACAACCAGCGCTTCTGAAAGCCGTCCTAGTGTAGGCTTTCAATTCTGATCACAAATGATAATTTATATAATAATTTTAACTAGGAAGAGAAAGTGAAAGAAGAGAAAAAAGAAGATGAAACGGGAATGTGGGAAGAAACATTTAAAACTTTTACTGACTCAAAACCACATGGTGAGTTTTCTTATTCTTCACACCTGATACCACTGGGTAACTGGGCTTGTCACATAATTCTTCCGACATGAAAACTGGATCATTTTAAGATGGAAATGACAAAGCTATATGTCAGTGGAAAGAGCAGATGCTTTCTGTCAGTATTATTATATTATATAGTATAGCCATCTTTGATTGCAATGAGACTGTTCTTGATATTATTATATATATTTCATATCATTTAATTCTCTTTTGGAATTGTCCAGATTTGTTTGTATCTTTGGAAATTTTATTACTTCTTATCGATGCACTAGTGGGGGTATAAAAGAGGGAAAAATTTTTCATTCTAAAGAAAAGATGCATGTAACGGTACAGGTTCGTAATAATTTTGACCAATTATCTGCATTTTGAAAGTTTTTTTAGATCCCTTGACAGTTGGAATTAAAAAAAAAGAGCAGGCTTATGAAGCTGTTTTGGCAAAATTACTCTCATTGCACACTGCATGGTGTTGCCTGTCTTCAATAGCGTAATTGGTGCAGAAGAGGAGGACTTGCTTCTTGACAAAGTTTTAAACAAGATTTTAACAAAGCCACTCGTGTAGAAATGAAATGTTAAGCAAGGTGGAATGAACCGTAATATAAATATGATTGCTTTGTAACATTGTATCGTAAAGTTACGAGACAAACAGATGTTCAAACTAATCAATAACAATAACAATATATGTTATATATATAACAGTTACAATACATAGATTGTTATCTTTATTGTTATCTTATAATCTAACTACTCTGAATATGTTCTTTTATGTTAATTGATAATGTTAGAAATAGCTGTTGATGATTTTTCGCGCATATAGCAAAGGTTTAAAAAAGTAGTCTGACAAAGGTTGAAATTTCAATATGAATAAAACATTAAAGATTTATTTCAATCGGTTGAAAAGCTCTAGTTAACACATTGTTTAAGAGACTTTTATATTTTTCCCCAAGGACTTAGTAATACTAAAATGTTATCATGTGATTTTTGCATTTATTAATGTTTTTAAGTCCAGAACAAATGAAAAAATGTACCAATTGTAGCCAAATTATGACCAATACTACAATACTATTTACATAATTGTACTATAGATTGCTATTTCTGGTCACAATTCTTTCAATTATGGTGGAAGGTCTCAGAAGCTCTTCTCCTAATCTCTAAAGTAAAATATTTAAACAAAAAACCTCTATCCAATTCAGTTTTAATGTTTTGTTTAACTGACCTTCAAATATATTCAAGGATTTGAAATTGAATTAATATGTTGATGATCTAAATTTTATTCAACTTATGACATATTTAAATTCTGCAAATCGAAAATTTGTTGCTTGTCTTTTTCAGGGCCATCTTCAATTGGAATTGATGTATCATTTCCTGGTTTTGAAAATGTTTATGGTATTCCAGAACATGCCGATACCATGGCCCTTAAAACAACCAAGTAAGACAATTCTCTGATTATAAATACTAGTCCAGTTGAGTTCTAAAAGGGAACGATGCACCATTTATTTTACTAATAGTACCTTGGTCTCAGAAATGGGATTTTTTTTTTAGCTAATCCAGTCAGTAATAGTGTTCACAGCTCGTTCACAGATTATTTAATTTAGATGTATTTGTATTGTAGATTATTTAATTTAGATGTATTTGTATTGTAGATCTACAGATCCCTACAGATTATTTAATTTAGATGTATTTGTATTGTAGATCTAAAGATCCCTACAGATTATTTAATTTAGATGTATTTGTATTATAGATCTACAGATCCCTACAGATTATTTAATTTAGATGTATTTGTATTGTAGATCTACAGATTCCTACAGATTATTTAATTTAGATGTATTTGTATTGTAGATCTACAGATCCCTACAGATTATTTAATTTAGTTGTATTTGTATTGTAGATCTACAGATCCCTACAGATTATTTAATTTAGATGTATTTGTATTGTAGATCTACAGATCCCTACAGATTATTTAATTTAGATGTATTTGTATTGTAGATCTAAAGATCCCTACAGATTATTTAATTTAGATGTATTTGTATTATAGATCTACAGATCCCTACAGATTGTTTAATTTAGATGTATTTGTATTGTAGATCTACAGATTCCTACAGATTATTTAATTTAGATTGTAGATCTACAGATCCCTACAGATTATTTAATTTAGATGTATTTGTATTGTAGATCCACAGATCCCTACAGATTATTTAATTTAGATGTATTTGTTTTGTAGATCTACAGATCCTTACAGATTATTTAATTTAGATGTATTTGTATTGTAGATCTACAGATCCCTACAGATTATTTAATTTAGATGTATTTGTATTATAGATCTATGGATCCCTACAGATTATTTAATTTAGTTGTATTTGTATTGTAGATCTACAGATTCCTACAGATTATTTAATTTAGTTGTATTTGTATTGTAGATCTACAGATCCCTACAGATTATTTAATTTAGATGTATTTGTATTGTATATCTACAGATCCTTACAGATTATTTAATTTAGATGTATTTGTATTATAGATCTACAGATCCCTACAGATTATTTAATTTAGATGTATTTGTATTGTAGATCTACAGATCCTTACAGATTATTTAATTTAGATGTATTTGAATATGATTTATACAATCCTATGGCTTTATATGGTGCTGTACCTCTTATGTATGCTCACAAGTAAGTTAACTTTTACTGATGTATCTTCAGTGGCGATGCCATTGCCCACCATAGAAACATAGCTTGTAAACCCTACTTCATGTGCTTGTTATTTCAAAGTACTTGAATGATAAAAAAACCTGGACAAGCAAGACAATTCCGTTTATCAAAATCTCATCCAAAGCATGGCAAAATCAAGAGTTAAAAATAGTATAGTAGTGGACTCCAAAGAGAGGTACCATCAGGTGTTTCAAAACAAGTAAGCATGATCTGCTACACGCACTTATAAGTTGTGTTAAATATTGAAAATTTCTTAGTTATTAAGGACTTAGCAGCATTAGATTTTTACTTTGTTAGAATGTAGACAATGATCATGATTTCAGTAAACATTCAGAAAATCATTCTACGTGTTTCTGCTTTCAGTGAAGACAGAACAGTTGGTATATTCTGGCACAATGCAGCAGAAACATGGATAGATATTAGTTCTAATACAGCAGATAAGGTATATTGATAAATTTGGTTTATTGGTGATTTAAAGGAATAAGCATTCATGTATTTATCTTTATATCTATTTAAAGCTGGGCTATATCACTGCAAATTTCACAAGTAGAAGTTATGAGTTTTAATCGTAGGTTAGCTTATTTGAAACAATCCCCAAAAACTGATATTTTGATATCACACACTAATGTTTATATTTTCAGTCAGTATTTTCCCATATAGCTGATTTTGTAAAAGGTAATAATGAGATACCACAGACAGATACACATTGGTTCAGTGAAAGTGGTGTAATAGATGTATTTTTATTATTGGGTCCTACACCACGTGATGTATTTAAACAATACAGTAGACTTACAGGAACCACACAATTACCACCAGTATGTATAGTTTACATATTACAATCAGATTTTAAATAGATGGATAGCTTTTTGGCTATAAGTTGATTGCTTCTATTATGTGGTCATTTGCTTTAGCTTAAAGAGTTATAAGTTAGATACTAGCCTTTCACTATTCCTATCAATATTCAGATTAGAAAAATGATGTTAGGTCTCTTTGCAATACTAATTTAATTGAGGACAGTTGAATTTTCTAGGCTCTTCTGCATTCCTTTATATAGATTATTTATAATCAGTAATAACTAGATAACATTCAGAATGTCATTGACTGTTATTAGCTGATTTTTCATGTTATTGTTCTATCCTATCAAAGTTATGATTAGAAACACTAAAAAAAACATTAAACTAATAAATGTGAAAACGTTAAAAAAAAATTGAATGAAACTGTTAAATCATATCTATCAATTTCAGTTATATTCTCTGGCCTATCATCAATGTAGATGGAATTATAATGATCAAGATGATGTTAAAGCGTAAGTTATTCCATATTACATAGAAAATGACAATTTCTCTACTTTTATTTTAATTTTCTGAAATAAGGCTCATACATTAGGTTTATGCCTTTTTTTTTGTACAATCTATTTGCAAAACGTGATCTCTAAGAACTGATGTTGATTTCTTACTTAAAAACCGAAATGCATTGCTATACTTTTGTTTATTTTATTGACAAGATATAATTACTATGGTAGCATGATATGTTTATACCTAAATCCTTAATATCATTTTCTGGTATTTTACAGTGTGGATGCCAACTTTGATAAATTTGATATACCATTTGATGTAATATGGTTAGATATAGAACATACAGATGGCAAAAAGTAAGTTTTTTTATCTTTTTTTTTTGAAAAAATTAAATGTTGACGAACCATGACATGGTATCTGAAATAATGATTTATCCACCTCTACATTTGGGTGTCCATTTAAAGGGACAGATTGGCAATTTTTTTTTTTATTTATCAGAAACTGGATTTTTTTGGTAAGATAATCAGTCATTCACAGTTCACTGTCGAAATTTTAGCTTACTTTATTTTTTGCATTGTTTATTTTTTTATTAGCCTTGTTTATTATAAATAATGTGAAAATATTGTACTAATTCCTTTATTTTTTTATTCCTAAATTTTTTTTTGGATTAAATGATAAATTTTTCATTAATACCTAACTCTTTTTTGCAGATATTTTACGTGGGCTCATGATAAATTCCCCACCCCTGAAGAAATGATAAAGAATCTGTCTGTAAAGGGACGTAAATTAGTAACTATTGTTGATCCTCATCTAAAACGAGAAGATGGGTATAGTGTATATACTGATGCTAGAGATAGAGGTTTTCTTATTAAAAATAAAGATGGTAATGATTATGAAGGGTGGTGTTGGCCAGGTAAATACATGTTATCATTATAAACAGTCATATTTTGGTCTTGTAATTAAATTTACTTTTGGGACTACTTTATTTTTGCTATAGTTGATTATATTTTGGACTGTTTAACCATGTATTGTGCTATAGGGTATCATTATCAACTTAATTTGCCCCATTAAATTTTGTCTTGAAAATTGTCACCGACTGCCTGATAACATTTAAATTGTTGCATGAGCTCAAGTTTTCAGCTTTAAGCTCCTTAATTCCTGGGCTTTATTCAATATACAAACAGTATTTCAAAAATGTAAATAGATTTTGAAAGTATATTAAGATATAGATTTGGCATGCAAAGTTATTAAAAAATATTCCAGGCTCATCAAGTTGGCCTGATTTTACCAACCCTGTAGTTCGAGAATGGTGGGCTGATAAGTTTGCTCTCAGTGAATATAAAGGCTCTACCCCAGATTTAATAGTATGGAATGATATGAACGAACCATCAGTCTTTAACGGGCCAGAAATAACTTTCCATAAAGATGTCAAACATTATAATAATTTTGAAAATCGAGATTTACATAATATTTATGGCATGTATGTGGTAAGTAAAATTGAGATTTACATAATATTTATATGGAATGTTTGTGGTAAGTACAATTGAGATTTACATGATATTTATGGCATGTATGTGGTAAGTACAATTGAGATTTACATAATATTTATGGCATGTATGTGGTAAGTAAAATTGAGATTTACATAATATTTATTATGGAATGTTTGTGGTAAGTACAATTGAGATTTACATGATATTTATTATGGCATGTATGTGGTAAGTACAATTGAGATTTACATAATATTTATGGCATGTTTGTGTTATGTCAATGGAAATGTACATTATACAGCATGTATGTGAAAAAATAATGAGATTTACATAATATTTAATACTATTTTTGTACAGTCAATAAATAATCCAAGTTTCTATTGATAACATTTATTCCATGTTTTTTTCAGCATCAAGCTACTATGGAAGGGTTAGTCAAAAGATCTGGTGGGAAAGAAAGATCCTTTGTTTTAACTAGAGCCTTCTTTGCTGGTTCACAGAGATACAGTAAGTGTCTGATTCTGTAGTCCAAATTCACAAAGACCGGTAGAGGCCAAATTTATACATAGACTTTCACTAGGTCTTTCAATCATCTTGTTTTGTTATAGTACTCATAATTAGCCCCGTTATTCTCTCTGTACAAAAGATCAACGCCATAAGATTTGGTCAAGAACCAGCTGGAAGAAAAGATCCTCCATGAACCCATCCGTATCCTTGTATAAAAAAGCTGTTTCTTCCATGTTAACTTATTTCTTTACCCAGGTGCTGTATGGACAGGAGACAATATAGGAGAATGGTCTCATCTCAAGGTCTCTATACCAATGGTACTATCATTAAATTTAGCTGGTATAACATTCTCAGGAGCTGATGTTGGTGGATTCTTTAAAAATCCTGATCCCGAATTGCTCACTAGATGGTACCAGGTAATTGTTAAGAACAATATTTCAAAATTTTTGATGTGGACATTGTAATATCAATTTGTTTTCATGAAATTTCTGTATTTGGTAATGGTCAAATCTAGCGTGCCTTTGATTTCCGTGAATCACAAATCTAACAAATTTTGGATGGAATTGATCGCAATGTTTTGTCGTCTGCTTCTTAAGATTTATCCCAACATGCAATTCTGTTTCAGACTGGTGCTTTCTACCCATTTTTCCGAGCCCATGCCCATCTGGACACCAGACGTAGAGAACCATACTTATTACCAGAAGAAAATATAAAAATTGTACGAGAAGCTCTTAGATTACGTTATTCATTATTACCATATTATTATACATTATTTTACCAAGCAGAAGAAGATGGTCTACCTATTTTTAGACCATTATGGGTTGATTATCCTAAAGATAAAGATGTTTTTAAAATAGATGATCAGTTTTTGATAGGTAAGGAATAATTTATTGCTAGAGAATTTGCAGATTTTATGACAGATTTGCATTGTGGCACTAGTGATTTGGTCACTCTTTTAGATTGATTGTATCTCGTTGGATGTAAGCTCATCTCGTTCTGTGAGCCTAAATGTTGGTTATCTCTTTCGTGTTTGGTAGCAGCAGTTGAGTGAGATCTCTGAAAAGTTTTGAGAAATTCTTCATTTTACTCAAGATGATTCCCAAAACATGAGCAGCACACATGGATCCTTAGCTTAAAGCATAGACATGAAGGGATTAATATTTAATCTCGAAAGACTCAAGTTGGTTATTCTTTTGTGTTTGGTAGCTGCAGTAGAGAGCTCAGCAAAGTTTTAAGTAATTCCATCATACACTTTATATAGATGATTATCAAAACTTTGGCAGCACACAAGGACCCTCAATAAAATGTATGTTTGTCTCATCAGAGAAGCTAGTTATGGAATGAATGACACTCGCAATACTTGTTACCTGTTCAAGAGATTATCAGAGCTCCTGTGCCATTGCCTGTCTTGACCAGGAGAAAACCTTTGATTGTTGCTCATCACATACAAATCTTTCAATTTATTTTGTATAGGTTCATCATTATTAGTAAAACCAGTAACTGATCAAGGTCAGACTAATGTTAATGTTTATTTCCCGGGTAAAGATAATGTAAGTATATTATATATCCTGGTGTAGTATTAAAACCTGAACATTTTCCATTTTCTTTTGATTTATAATCTTGTATTTTATGGGCTATTATTGCATTTCAAGGCTGTTTTTAGAAACATTTACATATATTAGACATGTAAGAAAAATAAACAAGGACAAGTTGGATAACTGGTGCATCTGTTAACATGAAAACAAACAATGATTTCACAATCAAAATAAAAAAAACCCTGAAAATACTTAGTTCAATGGGAGAAAGTTTCTTACAACTGTTATTGTGAAGCCATCACTAACATTCACTTGGATATTCTAATTAAACTTTTATTAAATGGTGCCTGACAACTTATATTAATTTTCCAGTTATGTATATTTGTGTTTGTATATTATGTATATTTTTGTATGTATATTATGTATATATTTGTATGTGTATTATGTATATTTTTTATGTATATTGTTGTCTATATATTATGTATATTTTTGTATGTAGGTATGGTATGATATAGATACATATCAAACATACGATGGTTCAATGACAATCAATGTTCCTGCACCCTTAGATAAGGTAGGTGAGCTACTATTGATATCTCTGCAGCTCCCCTCTAGAGACGTCATAAAACGTGTTAGTTCTAGTGGAATTGTAAGAACCACAGACGTCTATTTGAAAATTGGAATGGTGAAAATTGAAGCTATCAGTGTCCCCGATACACATAAAAAATTTAGAAAACCTCTTTACAATCCCTTTAAAGGACTAGCGTACAATCCAATCAAATCCCTGCATTTTAAATTCCTATTGATACAAGGGCCTAATGATGTCAAGGTACTTTGTTTCTTAAATTTGTGAAGATGACCTTTTATTTGTATCATAATGACTTTAATTGGAGTTATCTCTAGGCGTTTGTCTAATTTGGTTGAACAATGTTGCAATAGGTGAAATTTCTGTTTCAGATACCTGTATATCAGAAAGGTGGATCTATTATAGCACGTAAATTACGACCTAGGAGATCATCCAGTCTCATGTACCAAGATCCATTTACATTGATAGTATGTCTGGATAAACAGGTATGTATTTACTTAATTGTAATGGAGTAAAGAAGCTCTTAATAGCTGTTTCTAAAGTTTCTTTTTCAGAGCTTAGACATTGAAGTATTCAAATGTGACTCATAAATTCCACAGCAGAAAGCAGAAAATTAAACAGGACTATTATGGAACTATTAAATGTTGATCTTAACTTCTGTTGACTTTACTAATGAGAGAAAATACCTCTAGATTATTATGAATACTTTGATGTAGATTTGTTGGTTTTAAAGTTTAGAATTACAATACTAGAAGAAAGGATTAGATTTAAGATTAGATTATATATTTTAGGGTAAAGCTGAAGGAGAGTTATATGTTGATGATTATCATTCATTCCAATATAAAAATGGAGATTATATACATAGACAATTTATATTTAATAAAAATACTTTATCTTCTAAGTAAGTATTTTTATACATTGAAATTTTTCGTAAACAGCCAAAGTGACGGAACGAGGTGCTACCAGGCAAATGATATGTACTTAAAGTATACAGCATACAGTGTTCGTTTATATAGTGTATTTCAAATTATAGTATTTTTACATTGCAATTTCTAATTGCCCATTCCTTTTTCAGAAATATTGACCCCAAAGGTCAATTTAATACAAGAGAATGGATAGAAAAAATTATTATAGTTGGTTTTCCTAATGAACCTAAAAAAATTACTATTGCTAATTCAAGTAAGTCTAGACCTTTTTTCTACACATTATCTTTCAACTGATGTGTCCAATTCAAACATTTACTACCGTATATAATGATTATAAATTGTAAAAATGTGGCCTGCATTTAAAGAAATATTGTACACAATTTTCATGTTAGTCTATGTAAGGAGAAATATGCTCACTATTTTTGTGTCTGCGTTATGCCATCTCCAACCTCAAATTTTTCGTCAACAAGGGGTGCACATTATATATGGGTAAATGGATTTTTCCAGTTTTTTGATGGGGTAAGGAAGTGGTGCGCGTTATACACATTTGCGCATTATATTCGGAAATATACAGTAATTGTTATTTGTTAAAATTTTGTCAATGAGTCTACATATATTTTCAACTATTTCAGGTGGTGAAAACAGTCGTATTTTAGGATTTCAATATAATGAGAATAATAAAAGTTTAACAATACGTAAACCTGGTGATAATATAGCTGATATATGGACATTGGTCATCGTTTAGTTATCATTATTATTATTATTATTACTGGTATTTGTTATTGTTATATCATTGGGATGTCAATTTGTACCAAGATTTGAACATCCAATCAAAAACTTTGAAAGTTGAACTGGTTTTGGTTTCAAAGATTTTGATTGGTTACTGGTTAGACATTTAAAATGTTGTATGTGTTGACTCCCTTTCACCATCATTTTACAATTTCTATGGCCTCATTTCAATTTACTGCACTACTTTTTATAAAATTGTACAATTCATTTTTTTTGTCTGAAGTTGATTTCCTAATTTGTGCAAGAACTGGACTTTATTTGCAAGTAAAAAATCGGTTAAGGTTTTCTTTTTGAATCGATGATGCTTATCAATAAACAGATAGAACTGTGATTCACTTTATCCAAGTAGCTTTGTATAAGGTTTTAATCTTAAACCAATAACAATGACGTTTTATCTTACGGGGATATTTGTGATTGGTTGGATTGAAAGTCATGTGACATCATGATAAACTCAAGTCCTGAATATGATATTTTCGAAAGTTACGACCAAAAAGTCAAGAAAACAAATTCAAATATAACCAAAGAGTTCCCAATTCAACTAGTATGATATTATTAAGGACTGTAGACATTTTGTTAAATCTTACCAATGACTAGCTTCTATATCATCATTTAGTTCCCTTTCTTAGAATCATTTATAATTTGAATTGACCAAATATTTTGCATGTAAACTTGTTTACTCACTGTATGTTTGAGTAATTTATTCACATTTTGTTTTAGTAAAATTAGGCAAGAAGTAATGATTTTGAATTTATAGAAATGTTATATTAGTTTTGTTGTAATTTTATTTGTTAATTTGGTCGTAAAAGTGCTGTATATAATGTACTGAAGAAATTGAAATGTGGATTCTTTGATATGAATGTATTTTTTTTTTGCCTCTGTCCATCACTTCCTTTCGTCCATCTCATTCTAATTTGTTACGAACGTCAAAAGTGAGAAAATTAGGGGTAAATATCTTTTTTGGTTCCAAATTAACTTGCCTAGAACCTACAACTAGCTGTCACCTGATTGTGAAATTCTTAATGAATAAGTTTTCCACTTATAGTTAATACTTAATACAATACTTATTGGATGAAAAGTGGCTAAGGTTCTAAGAACTGATCAATAACGTTTCTTCTGACATTTGTGCTGTTAGAAGACCACTTTGTGAATTTCAATAATTTACATATTAAGCATATACCATTTTATTTTCTTTTGGCATCAATTGTACTTATGAAGAATGAGAATTTTTTTTTTTTTGCTATTATTTAATTAATTAGTAATTTAATCTGATTAGAGAATTGTGTTATTTGCAAAACTTTGAAAGTGTAAAACCTGAAATTTGTGGTATGATTCAATGCAAGTGCAATAGATCATCTATTAAGTGCTAATGTATAAGTTAATTATAATGACAAATGCTACATATTTGGACATTTTTATTCTATCACCTTGTTGACAGAAAGAATAATGTACACCTGGTCTAAGCAAAATATAAGATTTATGTATTGGTCTATTTAGTAGCAAAAGATCCAAATATCCTTGATTATACTTATTTCTCTTTGTTTTGATCATGAAAAAAATTGTTTGTTTATTGTAGTGTAAATTCCTGTGTCTTTTTACTGATGTGATATCACAGGTTAGTGAGCAGGAAGATGTGATTTCACAGGTCAGTAAACAGGTAGATGTGATATCACTGGTCGGTAAACCGTACATACGTGATGTCCCAGGTCAGTGAACTGTATGATGTAGTATCATGGGTCTAATGAGTATGTGTATGAAGTGATATCATGTGTTAATATACTGTATGACATGTTATCATGGGTCAGTAAAACTGAAGTGATATCACAGGTCAGTAAAATTGAAGTGATAAAACCCCTTCCAGTAAACTGCATGGCAGGATATCACAGGTCAGTAAACTGTATGAAGTGATATCACTGGTCAATAAACTGTATGTGAAATCACAGATCAGTAAACTGTATGATGTGATTTCACAGGTCAGTAAACTGTATGTGATATCACTGGTCATTAAACTGCATGGCAGGATATCACAGGTCAGTAAACTGTTCGATGTGATATCACAGGTCTGTAAAGTGTATGTGATATCACAGGTCAGTAAACTGCATGTGTAATCAGTTTCATTTAATTTTTACAGATCAAGTGGAATAGATATTAAATAAGCAATGATTATAATTTAAATGTAAGAATGATTGATTGGGATGTAAAATATTAATTTTTATTGCTGAAATAATCAGGCACTCTGTAAATTGTTTGAATGATTTAATGTCTTGAAGTAAACATTTAAATAACACACTTGTACTGCTTTAATATTTTCAGAGCATTTATTTTACTGTGAGATGGTGCTTGATTGGATAGTTCTGAGCAGGATCTGTCTGTTACAAATCTGCCCTGACTTCCAAAATTTTTCCCATTTATTTCCTTCACTTCCATTTTGAATTCTGTATACGTTCTAAATTGTTTTAATGAACGTTCTGTTGATTCCATAAATCCTAGACATACAGATGCAGAACTCGCCAATCATGTATCTCTTGTTCTGTATGAAACTGCCCGATTATGTTGTAAAATATAGTGAGCAACGAGATCCTCCCATTCATGTCTCCACCCCTTTTCTGAAACACAACTGCAGTTTGAAATATAGTGACTTTATACTGTAGAAAAGATATAGCTATCATTTTTACATACAGTTTGGTGGAAGCACTGGTTGTACAAACACCTTCTCAATTAAACATGTACAAAAGAGATAAACTTAGTATGACGATCTTAAGTCAGTTAAGATATAAAACAATGACAATTCAAATTAAAAATGGCAAATGAATATGAAAAAGAAATTAGACATTACTTTAATGCATCATATATAATAGCCCAACAAACCTGTCTCTACCCTCAGACATGATATACAGATGGGATATTGGCACATTATGGACCAAACACAACTAGTTTTTGAGAATCTTAACCATTTATCAAGCCAAATTGCATTACATGGAAAAAGTGATATTTTGCGTATGGCCCTAAACGTATTTTTCAGGCTAATATCAAAACAGTCTGTACTATGCATTGATCATTGCCTGAGGAACAGCAGTTAATTATAAATTTTTCTTCCGTCTCAGTTATTCTGGCGCATATTTTCATCCAACATATTAGAAATAAGACCATCCATAGCTCCAAGTAATAGTCAAACTAATTCCGGTTACAAAATTTTTTGACTTAAAGAATGGAATAATAAAGTAGATTGACTAAATAGCATCAGATTTTAGTAATGGAAACTTACTGGAAGTACAGAATTCCAAAATCGCTTTTTACACTAATTATATACAATAATCTCATAAGCATCTATTTACAATTCTTGTTTACATGTTTAAATAAATAATAATACCATTTACACTTTGATTGAAAACTTACACATGATGAAAAACTTACACATGATGAAAAACTTACACATTGATTGAAAACTTACACATATATGATTTGCATAATTACAAAGATATTGCTTCATGAAAAACAAGGCTGTTTTAATATTGAAATCATCAGTTGGAATAAATTGTCTTCAAATCATTTCCAATATTTTTGATGAGAAAGTCACCATTATTTATTATCACTTTGGAATTTACTAATAAGTTGTTGGACCCATCCTTTCATAATCACTAAGTTTTCAGTATCTGTACCTATTTGATCTAGTCTACCTAACGATCTAGCAGAACGTAAGGTTGAGCTGACAGAACTACAAACACTATCATTACTATTTTCCGATTCTGCACGATTTCTACGATATCGGAACTGATTGTTAGATTCTGATAAATGAGATTTGATTTCACTCAGAGATTTAGGGGGAGATAACTCTCGTTCCTCACTTGCAGATCGACTTGATGATTTGCGATATTGGGAATTTTCTTGAAGATGGTGAAGTTTTTCTTTGATGATAGCTGCCGGTTCACGTCTTTTGACACCAAAAGTTTTTGGTGGCACTGGTTTGCTTTTTTCTTCCAGTAATTGAACATAGTCTTTGATAGATTTTCTCACAGGTTTGAAAACTGGCTCTGGTTGTTGAGAATCTTCCTTTGATATCGGTTTAATATCAGTGTCAATATCACAAAACACAGCTGAATCACGGAAAACATCGGAATTCAGATCTGCTGACAATCTACGCTCATAAAAACTGTCCACAGATTCTTCTGATGAATTAGATGTTGTCCGCTTCCTGTCTTTCTTTCTTTGTCGAACCGGACTTTGACCTCCATGTTTTTTGTATTTAACGTCAATAACACTTTTATGTACAACTTTACTTTCAGAATCATTAGAATTCTCAGTTTTACATTCCTCCGTATTTGCTTCTGACACTTTTATTTTACTCAACTCATTCAAATCATGATTGTCTATGACATCATCACTTTGCATAGAAAATCCTGAATCAGACTGCTGAAATTCAGAACTATTTAATGATGGCGTAGGTATAAGTGGGGCATCATTCGGTGGGAGAGACAGACGGGATGAAGGTTCTGGAGTTCCTTCCTTACTAGAATGATCGAATGAAGACAAGGAATCAGTGTCACGTAAGATACAAGCACTATGAGGTCGTGTTGAAGACTGCTGAACTTTTGCTGCATACATAGCCTCAATATTTGGCGGGAGGTTGTTAGCCAGTTTGGAACCAACAGATGAACTACCTAAACTACCTTCTAATAATACTGTTTGAAGATCAGGTTCTTTTGAGGTTCGTACCGGCCTTCGTTGATGATAGTTGATAGATAATTCTCTCGATGGTGACCTCACTTTTTGATTATGTTCCATTTGATCAGTTTTAGGCAACACATTTTGATTTGGTCCGTTATCATATTTTTCATCATCAGACAAAATTTCGGAATTGGGTCTGAAGTCAGGCACACTTGATGTAGCAGACATTTGTTCATATTCCTCATTTCTTTTGCTCAGTTTGGTTGTCCAATTCTGAATCTTATTTTTTAGATTACCAACAAGATTGTCACTAGAACTCGAATGACTGGCTTGGCTGTCATATGAAGAGGTTGAAATAGATGATACCCCTGAAAGTCTATTCAGATCTTTGTCTTCCTCATTTGGTGGTGCTGTTGTTGGAAATTTGGCATGATTCAGTGAGTGGTTAGAAGAATGTTTCATGTAGGTCTCCATTTCTTCCATGATTCTATCACTTTCTTGAAGAGTTTCCAAATCCAACGAGGCTGGTCGATGTCTTCCATAGCCCAATTCATAATATTTCCGATTACAAGGAGAAGAATTTGAGCGTGAAAGGTTACTTCCCTTTGAAGTATTGTTATTATTTTGATTGTTTCCGGGTAAGGATTTTGGTTGTGTGAGGTAGCGAGTTGTTCCCGATTCACTTCTGGTTGAATCACTACGCCACACACCTTTGAATTGTTTCGGTACCGATGTGTTGTTCTTTGTTGGTGAACAATATTTGGACAAAAATTTCACATTTTGAGGGTACTCATTTAATGAATTTCTATTGACATAAACCATCCAGTCTAAATTGTCACGAGAAGGTGTGCGTCTGTCGGTTACGTCTGATACATTTCGAGGACGTCCCCAATGTTGCAAGTTAGGAGATTTTGGAGCTGTGACAACTGAAATATTTGTAGAAGGTTTAGAATCGGAGTGTTTAATCCAAGGATCCTCATGATTTGGAACAACAAGACTGGATGTGGATGCTCGTAAAAGTTGATCGCTGCTACTCCATAATTTAGCATTAGAGCCTTTAGCTGCATGAAGTTTATCGCTTTCATTGGACAATTGTTGAACAATTGAACTGGAACTGCTGTTCAAACTTTTGTCCT